CAAGACTTCAATGCAACTTTTAAACTCAGTATTTACAACAATTCCATTATATCAAATGATTAACAAAAAGATCTGAAACAGAAAAAGGAGTGTTAAAGCCAAAGCCGCTTTTGCTCGCTTTATTAGCAGGCTAGCAGCAACAACGTACAATCCTGGCAATACATCAACTGTCCAACTGCTCAACCTGGGAAGAGTATTTCATACAAGACATTTCTCGTGGGGTTTTGGGATTAAAAGTGCAAAGAAGGACTGAATTATCTCCTTTTGTCTACTAACAATCTGTCTTCCAAGGCAGCATGCTCAAATGACTCTCCACAGTAGGTGATCAGCATCACTGTGAAGACAGTTATAAACAATTAAATGGTGAAAAGGATTCGATAATTTAAAGACAAAAAACTCATTTTTCTTTTAAGCAAACAATCCTCTAAGGAATAGCCCTCCACTCTGTCCACAACTCCACCAACCTTCGCATCATCGGTAAACTTACGTACCCACCCTTCCACTTCCTCATCCAAGTCATTTATAAGGATCACAAAGAGCAGAGGTCCCAGAACAGATCCCTGCGGAACACCACTGGTCACTGAGCTCCAGGCTGATTATTTTCCATGTACTACCACCCTCTGTCTTCTTTGGACAGCCAATTCTGTATCCAGACAGCCAAATTTCCCTGAATCCCATGCCTCCTTACTTTCTGAATGACCCTAACATGGGGAACCTCATCAAATACCTTGCTAAAATCCATATACATCACACCCACTGCTCTACCTTCATTGAGGTGTTTTGTCACATCCTCAAAGAATTAATAATTAAACTGAGTCACACTCCTTACAGAAGTGGCTGCTTGCATGAATTATGTTCAAATCTTAGATGGAGAAGGCACTTAATATGTCAAAAAGATACAAGCAAAGAAAGCCATAAAATGCAAGAAAGGAGGAAGTAAACAAAAGAAAATGGGAAATCACAAACAGATCTTGCATGTCACAAGTGGAGAACAACTCTGAATTTTAGGCTTCACCTGATCTCTCTCTCCAACTCCATACAAAATGAGCTCTAGTCCTGTACGCCAGAGTACTGCTCCCAATGCATGAACATCTTTCTACAAGTACAGTGGTAATTAGCCGGGTTGAATTTGTCTTGCTTTTTGTGAACAGGGCATATCTGGGCAATTTTCCACAACGTCATGTAGATGCCAATGCTGTAGCTGCACTGAAACAGCTTTACTAGGGACTCGGCAAGTTCTGGAGCATAAGTCATCAGCACTATTGCTGGCATTGTGTCAATGCCCACAGCCTTTGTGGTGTGCAGCACCTTCAGCTGTTTCTTGATATCACGTGGAGTGAATCAAATTGACTGATGATTGGCATCTATGATGTTGGGCACCTTCAGAGGAAGCAGAGGTGGATGATTTACTCATCAGTTCTGTCTGAAGATTATTCAGCTTTATCTTTTGCACTGATGTTTTGTTCTCCAGTTATGAGAGGTTATTTGTGGAGCGTTCTGTCCACTGAGTTATCTAACTGTCCTCCCAAGATTCACGACGAGATGTGGCAGGGTTGTAGAGTTTAGATCTGACCCAATGATTGCGGAATCATTTAGCCCTATCTACAAAATAATGCCTATGCTATTTGGCAAATAAATAGTCCTTAGTTGTAGCTTCAGGTTGACACCTCATATTTTAGTATGCCTAGTGTTGTTCTAGGTATGTCTCCCACACCCTTCACTGAACCGAAGTTGATCCCGAGTTAATGGTAATAGTGGACAGTGAGACAAAGTGCATGCGTGTGACAGAGAGTGTGCATGCATGAGAGAGAGAATGCATGACACTGGAGAAGTCATTCCTGCTCTCTTAGTGAAGAAAACAAGAAGAAGTTTGATGGAGGTATTACACTGGACAAGTAATTCAAAGGCTAATGAACTGGGAAAATGGGTTGCAGTTCTACCAAAGGTGTAATTTAAATTGCATTAATAAAATTGAATACAAAGCCTCTAGTCTCAGTCATGGTGGCTATGACAACTAATATCAATTGTTCCAACAACCATCTAAAAAGAAATTTACCATCCTTCATATTCTAACATATATCTGAACGCACACCTACAGCAATGTGGTTGACTCTTAAAACAGATGCTGTCTTTGCTATGAAAGACATTTTAAAAATCATGTGGGGCCTTGATAAAGTAGACGGGTAAAAGACCCTCTTGGTGGAAGAATGGAGAACACAAGAACTTGGATTTTAAGCAAATGATCAAAATAAGCAAATGATCAAAATAAGCAATGACAACATAAAAATGTTTCTTTCACTCAATAAATAGTTAGACTAGGAAATAAGCTGGCTAACAACAGGTGGGATACTAAATAAAAACTGAAAGAATTGCAGATGCTGGAAATCAGGAACAAAAACAGAAGTTGCTGGAAAAGTTTAGGAGGTCTGGCAGCATCGGTGAAGAAAAAAAATCAGAGTTAACTTTTTGGGTCCGGTGACCGTTTCCTCAAAACTGAAGAAGGGTCACCGGACCCGAAACATTAACTCTGATTTTTTCTTAAGAGATGCTGCCAGACCTGCTGGGCTTTTACAGCAACTTCTGTTTTTGTAACAATGGGTGGAGGCAGGTTTAATCAAGGCATACAAGGAGGAACTGGATTATCTGAAAAGGATGAATCTAAGGGATAAAGGGAGAAGACAGGCATCTCTCAGTGAATTGCTCCTTTACAGAACGTACAAACACAATGAGCTAAATGGCTCTCTTCTGTGCTGTAACAATAGTAAGTAGTCAAAAATTACTACAGATTTCCTCAAGATCAGTGTGTTCAAATTACACCTTCTTGAATACACAGTAAAACGTAACAAAACAGTAACATTCCTTACAATATGAAATATGGATAGTATATATTAACATTTGACTTGCACATTAACTTAAAGCTATCTTAATGGTTTCAAAAAAAGTTGCAGAATTGTTATAAAATAACCAAACGTATGTTGAGGCAAGAAGCTGTCAATGCATTCCTAATCCAGAGGGACACTGTGGAACATCTTCCAAAGCACAAATTGGGAACTGGCAAAGCTGCATCACCGTTTTCCTACAGTATTCCCACAATAACTACAATTAAGTATTTCAATGGCTCTAAAGTGCTTTGGGATGCCCACTGTTGGTGAAAGATGCTGTATAAAATGTTCACTGCTCTTTATTCATGCTGCCATCATATCATTTAAAATCATGAACATTAACATCTATGCTTCTACATGCAAATAGTTAATCCAAACCAACCCATTTCCAAATACTCCAGTTACTCAACATTACTGTACTCAACAATAAGCAGATTGACAAGGTCAGTAGAGTAGACAATACTTAAATCACATACTAACTGGATGGTCAAAAAGCAAGTGAAAAGACAATGGAAAAAGAATCAAAAGAAGAAAATTATATAAGCAATAGGCAATCTTCAATGCAACTAAGGTTAACTACCGAGTTGGAGAAATCTCCTCACCTCTTGCAAATCTGACAATGCAACACATCTTTCTGGGAATCTTGATAGCACGTCTTGTCGCAGTGTGGACAGGACAGGCTGTGGTCTTGCTGCTGGTAACAGTTAGCACAAAGTGAACAATTATGGTGCCAATGAGTGCTGGTCCGTGCGCCACAGTCAACACACACCCTGCAATTCTGAAGTGAAGAAAAAAGAGAAAGTTTAATCATTACATTTGATAGGTATAACAAAGTTAAAGAACCAATTAATGTAAGCCTATTAACGATACAGTATGACAAAGCAGTTTATAAATAATGAAGCAAAATGAGAGATAATGGAAATCTAAGACAAACAGCAAATTTAAGAAGTACACAAATCAGTCAGCATCTGTAAGTGAAAATAAAACAAGTCATTTATTTTACAGATGTTGGATAATTGGTTATTTTAACTCCTTTTTTGCTATTGTTTAAGGAGATTGGTGTAGCCTTAGGAATTATCCAACTTCGTATATTTCCAAAGCATTTGGTTGAAAGATATTTGATGAATGCTCATGTGCATAGAAGGCAGACTGTGGTACGCAGCTTGTTGTCCAGTGCCACTAGTTCAGAAATAAAATTTGTAGATCGGCTATTTTATGAATTCTGAAGAGTTCTTGGAATCGGTTTGTAACTACAGTGGGGAAGGCAGTAAACTAACCGATGAATATCAAGAGAGGCAAAACAGTGTTTTGAAATGGGCTACACTGAGGTCAGTGCGAGAAACGGTCATGAATATTGCTAGGAAAGATTCAATCAGGATTTGGCAATTGACTTGGGGGCCTTTACTGGAAGAGGGTCCGTAGGTTCAACAAGAAAGTCTGGACAATAATGAGAATAAAGACAATGAGGAACGAGAAAACATTGGTCAAATTGTCCATCACAATCAATCCTTTAGTTCTCAACCTGAAAATGAAAGGAACTTTTTTTGTCTTATTTCAGCCTGCTTAACAAGTTTGCATTCTATCTACAGAACAGTGAGATCACTAATGCTAAGTAGCAATAAACAGTATTTGCTAAGACTCAGTGTGCAGTACTTGAAGGTTTGATACACAATGAAAAATTTAATGTAATTTCAGTTTTGTTTTTGTTTAGGAGGAAGGAGGCAAAGAAGGGGTACAAATTAGTGGTGAAAAGTGACAAGAAACTTATTCCATATTTGAAACTCAATGCCAGCATCAAATTAGAATTGAAGTAAACCTTCTGTTTCCATTGCATCCAACCTCAGAACGGCACTGCACCCACCACCCAAACCCACCCTCAAAAGCCCACCTCACCAGAAGAACTTTCTACTTTCCGCTTTAATCATGCTTCGATAACCCTGACCCAGACTGACATTTAGTGCCAAATCATGTTACAAGCAATTCTGTGATGTAGACTTGCATTCAAGTCAAATTGTTAACTAGGTTTTACTTGTACAGCATGCTTCAGCTCTATTGTGCTGACAGGAGGCACATTTCAGAGGGCTTTATGGGGAACTGCAGGCATAAACTCACATTGCTTCTGGGGACAAGGCTCCCTGGTGTGATGCTGCATTGATAGGTGCTCCTGAGTTTACAGGATATGCCAAAAACTATTACTGAAGCACCGTACCTGAAAATTGGAGGAAAAAATAACTGACAGAGACATGAGCAGGAGACATGAAAGGAAGGTCATTGCCAGACTAAATATATACCTACAGTACGCGTTTTAAGCACTTCTGAAGAGTTCAACACAAAAACTATAAAGATTAACTTTATTCATTCTATGATCTAAGCAAATTCTTCAATTTGCATTTCAATGCTGTTGTTTCTCTTTTTAACTTTCAATCATTTATGCAACTCTTACATGGAGGAAAGGCATTCTGAAAGCTGGAAATTTATTAAGTGCTCATTAGTATGAAATAAAACTAATAATATATGCATATCTGCACTTTCAATAAATTGCGCTAATTATTGACTACTGATAATGTGGCTATAAATCAAAAAAACCCATGCTGAACTGTGAAGCTTAGCTAGATCACTATTAGATACAACCAAATGGATGCCATGTGTTTGCTCAAAGGATGCAAGAGTATATTTGGAGAATTATACTTTCAAGAGCACTTTGCAAAACTTGTATATAAATCATAACAATACTAACAAGAAGTGCTTTTTCTTCTGTAAAATAGACAACCAAGGACCAAAGCGGAGGTATCACAAGGTGATAAAAATTGACAACTTGAGACAAAACAGGAAGAGCTGCTTTGCGTTATTAAAAGATAACCCAACAATTGGACTGACAGGCAGCAAAGCTTCCACCGCTTTAGGTCAAGAAATTAAACAAATTCAATGAGCAGGCTAGACTGTTCTCGAACTTTCTCTGGAGCAAAAAGTGAAAGCCCAGAAGGCTCGATGCCTGCCCAATACCAGGAATTGAAACACAACAGGGTGTTGGGGCTGGGGCAGATGCAGTCATCGTGGTCAATGTTACAAACAATATAGGCATGACATGAAAAAAGTTCTGCAGTTATTTTGTGGAGGTTGGCACCAAATTAAGAAGCAAAAACACCAAGATAACCTAAGGCACTTGTAGATTAACACAGGGTAAATAAGGTCAGGGTAATGAATGTGTGGCCTAAAGATTGGAGCAGGTCCAGGTTTTTAAGGCACTGGTACCCGTACAGAGGAAGTGGGGACTGTACTTTGGGGATGAACTACACCTGAACAGTGACACAGCATGTGTTCTTAGTAAGTTGCATAGCTAGGGATGTAGAAGGTGCTTTAAAATTTAATTGTGGGGGCAAGAGAACAAGTTTGGGAAGAAGCTGTATATTAAAGTGTAGATACAGGGAAGGCAGAAAAGTATAATGGGGATATGAAGAACAGACCACAACAAGAAGGGGGAAAGAGAGAATACACAGAGTAAATCAATGAATAAGGCAAAAGATTATTAAATAATAAGAGAACGAATCTGAAGGCTCTTATCTCAATGAACATAGCATTCAGAAAAAAAATGATAGGACTAGTAGAAATAAATAATTTTGATTTGATAGCCATTAGAAAGACATATAATTGAATAATGGATATTGAGGGCACAAAGCATTTAAGAACAGAATGTTGGAAAAGGTGTATGAATCATTGTGCTAATTAAAAGATAGTTACAATACAATATAGAGAGATGAATTAAATCAGGAAATTGGGATGTAGATGCAGTTTGGGTGGAGATGAGTAATGATAAAGGCAAGAAGTCACTTAAAGAAATGGTGTACTGGCACCCTAACAAACACATGGTAGATGGAGCATAAAAAAAGCAAATTGGGAAAAGCACAGCATTAATCATAGAGGATTTTAACCAGTTGAGAAGGCTGGTTAAAAAAAAGCACACATCCCATGGGCAAATGTAGTGTAGAATAGTTCACAGGATATTTTCCTAATAATTTCTTAAAACAGTACCTTCTGAGCCAACCAGAGAACAGCCTACTCTAGGACCTGCACTATGCAACAAGATAGATCAAAATAACAACCTCATAATGAAGGCACTCCTAGGTAGCAGCAATCAGAATATGACTGAATTTTACATTCAGCTAGCAAGACAGAAGAATGGGTCCAAGACTAGTATTTTGAACTTAAAGGGCAATTATAAGGGTGTGAGAGCAGAGTCAGCTAAACTGAACTGGCAAGTTCGGTCAAGGGATGGATCACTAGAGATATAGTGGTAGACATTTAAGGGACTATTTTGGTATACACACAGAGTACATACACCCCAACAAGAAAGAAAACTTCCAAGGGGAGGAGCTATTTTGCATCGGTCTTTAGCAAAGAGAATACAAGTAACATACCAAGAAAGTGTCATAAATCAGGGAATGGAAGGTAGGAACTCAAAAAAATTACGAACACCAGCGAAGTACTAATGAGCAAATTGTTTGAACTGCAGGCAGAAAGGTCACCAGATCCTGATGGACTTCATCTTAGGATCTTGAAGGGAAGTAACTAGTGAGATAGTTAAGTAGTTGGCTTACACCACAGATTCAGGGCAGGTTCTATTACATTGGAATGTAGTGAATGTAACTGCTTTATTTAAGAAAGGGAACAGATAGAAGGATAGGTCAGTTAGCTTAACATCTATAAAAGAGAGAAAATATTGAAGCTATTAAACACATTACAGCAGGACACTCAGAAAAATTCAAAGATAACCAGGCAGTGTCAGCCTGATCTGGTGAAATGGACATCATGTTTAACTAGGTTACCTGAGTTCTTTCACCAAGCGATGATCTGTGGATAAAAGGGAGCCAGCTGATGTGCTCCACTGAGATTTCCAAGAGAAATATCATAAAAAGCTATAATCAAAGGTCAGGTGGGTATTAAAAACTCAGTGTAAGTGATAAGACATTAATCGGGATAGCAGTTTGCCTAGCTAACAAAAAATCAGAATAGGCAAATTTGGTCATTTTTTGATTGGCAAGATGTACTGAGCGGCATGCCAGAGAGATCAGTACTGGGGCATTAACTGTTTACAATTTACATAAATGACTTGGTTTAAGATATGACTGCTAAATTTGCTGATGACACAGGCAGGTAGGAAGGTAAGTTGCAAAGACAACATTACAGAGGTTACAAAGGTACATAGACAGGTTTAAGTAAGTGGGCACTTGTAAATTAATTAGTCTCACAGACTATCAATCCAGAGTCCGAGTGATGCCTGGGGACCTGGGTTTGAATCTCACCACGGCAGATGGTGGAATTTTAATTCAATACAAATCTGGAATTAAGAGTCTAATGATGACCATTGTCCATTGTTGAAAAAAGCCATCAGGCTCACGAATTTCCTTTAGGGAACGAAACTCCCATCCTTACCTGGTCTGATCTACATGCTACTCCAGACCCACAGCTATGTGGTTGGCTCTCAACTGTCTTCTGGGCAATTACAGAGGAGCAAAAAATGCTGGCTTAACCAGCGATGCCTTCATCACGTGAATGAATAAAAATAATGGCCTGGATAGCCGAAGGACAATCATTTCCTTATTTGCTTATCTGTGAATGTGTAAGGAAGGGGGGGTTTATAAAGGGTTTAGACTTTGAGTTAAAAACCAGTGGTTTACATCTGCCTACTTGTAGCTATAGTCTAATTAGTTAAAATAAACACTAATTCTTAATTATTAATAATATCAAAAAGCTGGTCCTTGTTTTCCACCAACCTTGGTC